ACTGCGCTTAAAGTAAAAAATGGAAACGAGTGTAAACAGGTTTGGGTGGCGTAGTAACCCACTACGACTGAGAAAGGTAACCGATATACTGCATAATTAGCGGTATAAGCCTGCAAGTTTCCAGCGGCTTGAGAGCTGCTTGTTTGGGCAATGTTGATAGAATAATCTGGCTGAAACATTCGAGGAATCCCATGGAGCGCATGCGCCGAGTGGGGCAGATGCACGGACCAGCCAAACAGATGTGCGTTTACATTTTTCAATCAAATCTTTTATTTTTACACATGGATTGACTTGTTTTACAGAGCGTTCAGCATAGGAGCATAATGACGCATGCATTATCTGTTCCATTTTGGACTCAATTTTTTATTTCAACTTACGCAGCCTGCAGAGAGTAAGTTTACTTATTGACCACGTACTTGGATTTCAACTGCTGCACTGACTATAACCTGTTTGGTAATGACTACAGCGTATCCTCTACGCTAGGTTACCGCAAGCTCAGATAGAGACTGCATGTCTGCACTCCAGTTAAGACGTTTAGTTGCAAGTCAAGTTGCAACTTTGACTAGGCCACGGAAAATTGCGGACACTAACTTAATATTGAAAAATTATCATTTTTTATCAAAATCCGGCAGAGGTGCCATGGATGTCAATACAAGTACGCAGGTCGTACATAGCTGTATTGAAAAGAAAGAGTCGATTTAAGAGAGGAAGGTTTGGGAATGTTGAAACATGCTCATTGCTAGCTATAAAAAGACGCCAATCACGTAAATTAAGGCTATAGTGGAAGAGGGCGATGAAACGAGAGAAGTGTTACCATAACACAGTTAGCACAAAAGAACTAACCTGGATGACTCACAGTGAATGCTCAAGATCGACCATAATTTAAACTCGAACCCAGATCTGATAAGCTTTCCCGCCACCTGTGAATTTGGATTTCAATACCTGGCTATTTTACTATAATTAATATAACTCAATTAGGCTTCTACGGGCATAGGAATGTGCTTCTCGTGTTAAATAAGAGCAACATCCACTGTCTGCCTACGTACGGGGTGAAAGCTGCAATATGGAGATGTTTGCGACCAACAAAATGGATATCTTTGGATTTTTACAATGAGTTCAGTTCGATCTCAAAAACAAAGACACCAGCTGCATCTTCTGAATGCACATTTATCAACAATGGCACCCCAATCAAATTAAAATGTATACGTAAAGACATTTCAAAGTAACTGCAACAGCGGTCGCGGAAACTCTATAGAATACTCCCACCCCTCCCAAACAGTATGTGCAAAACTGAAAACAAGATTCGTTTGACTGTATTAAAACAATGTTCCGAACTCCACCCAGTACGGTTGTTCGGTTGACAGGCGCCCATGCGTGCTGAAAATTGACATGCACCGACATGGTCTTACTTGTTTTCAGGTCACAACCGAGTAATACTGCCAAAAGGTAGTTGAATAAAGAGGATCCAGGAGAGTTACTAGCCAATGCATTCACCACTGTAAACACAACACAGATGGCTTATGGAGGACGACTCGGCCATGTCATCGTGGATAGTACAGTCTATAGCGAAAGCAGCAACTGCCTGCACCGGCATCCCCAAAGTTGCGGAATATTTAGTCGCCATAACAAAAACAGGGACAGTTTTGTCATATAAGAGCAATTAATCTTAGCAAGGATAATACTGACCTGTGATCTTGGCAACAAATGGTGATCCGGGTATATTTTTGTCCAAGAACTTCAGATCGATTACGTACTCCCCAGGCGCCATGGGATAGTAGGTCACACGACAGGTACCATCGCCGTTGTCATGGCAAGTTATTTCAGCCTTTGAAGGTCCCTCAACAGCCACCGACAGTCCACCTGAAGAGGATAGATACGAAGATAAAATGTTTTGACAGTCAACCAGAGAGCTGCCGTCAAATATGTCCGCAAGAAGGATTTTGAAACTTAGAGAGAATTCCTGTTGACAGGTCTTTGATTTTCACGGCTGTATTTTGTACCTATTTACTGGAATCCAGTAAGGGAAGTTTACTTAGTACCATATAGCCCCAGATTTCTGTAATGTGCGATCGATAGAAATGTAGAAAATATTTATTTTCTATGTAGCGATGAAAAATAAAAATAACCATCTATTCTACCAGGAACCAGTCGTTACAACAGTTGAAAAGCAGGTTAAAACACTGTCAACATAGAAGACACACGGATACTTAGACGCATCTCAAATATAATATAGCTAAAGTAACTGTTCCTTACTTGTAACGTCTGGTTTCTGTCATATATTTAGGTCAATGGATATGTTATCACTACATGCGAAAGGAAAGGCTTTCATTTTACGACAGGTCCAGTAAAACAGACACCG